ATCGATAGTGAGCTTTGCAGTGAGGTCCATTGGGTGAGGTCGATAGTGAGATCGATAGTGAGATCAATAGTGAGATTGGTAGTGAGATCGACAGCAAGGTCGATAGTGAAACCGATAGAAATCAATTGTGACATCGCTTGAGTGGGATCCATAGTGAAATCGATCGTGAGATCGATCGTGTGTTCGATAGTGAGATCGGTAGTGAGATCAATTGAGTGAGATCGATCGTGAGAGCGATAGTGAGATCGACAGTGAAATCGACGGCGAGATCAAAAGTGACATCGATAGTGAGATCAATTGAGTAACATCGGTAATGAGATCGATAGTGGCATCGATGATGGCACCGATAGGCAGACCGATAGTGTGAGCGATCGTGAGATCGATCGTGAGATCGTTCGCAAGATCGATTGTGAGATCGATATTGAGGTCGATAGTGATATCAACATTGTGATCGATAGTGAGATCGATAGTGAGATCGAGAGTGAGATCGGTAGTGAGATCGACAATGAGATCGATCGAATGAGATGGGTGATAAGATCGATAATGGAATTGGTAATGAGATCGACCAGGAACCCGGGATCCCGAGAATCAAAAACTGGAACCGAGGGAACCCCGCCGCCCACCAGAATGGGCCCCGAACCAGCAACCAGGAACCAGGGAATCGGGAACCAGGAACCCCCGAACCCGGCCGCCCACCGAAATCGGCAGGAAACTTTCGCCAAATCTGCAAATCTCCGCTAGGACATCATGCACCCAATGGCCGAAACTGGGGCGAGAACTCCGTTCTACAGGACGGGAACAGAGCGCCGATCTGGAAATGAGGCCAATACTGCAGCGGGGGCGCCATTTGAAACACCAGAAACAGTCGGATTGCCACACAAAAACATGAGACAAATCATTGTTTGAAATACTGTGCGTTGAACAGTACGCGAGCAGAGCGGACCCACGCCCCGGACAACTGCAGGGGAGAGAGGAGAGTCATATTCATATTGAGCAACTGTCAAGAGAAGAAGGAGGAAGAGGCGGAGGAGAAGGATGAGCAGGAGGAGGAATCGGAATCGGAATCGGCCCCATCGCGATGCGAAGTTGAAAGAACCTACCTCCCCCTGAGCTTCACGTGGAAGAAGGCGAGCAGGTAGACGGACGACACGACCCAGAAGCGGGAGTCACAGAACGGGAAGTACGTGGAACGACACCAAAACCGATAAACCGATACCAAGAGCGAGTCCCTCACGCCAGCACCAGGAAAACCAGGACAACTGAGATTTCACTCCATCCCAAGACCACGCTCAGGTCGCACACTCGACCGGTTCCATTGAGAAGGAAATGGCGGCTCAGCCGAAACGGAGTCTGCTCGATACGGCCCACTACAATGGAAAGCACAGAAGAACAAGTACATCCCACTGGTCATCGGGCAACCTCGAACTCCAAACGCGCAGAATTGCGACGAAAGGCACCAAACTGAGATAGGGGGGAAGGAGGAGGGAAGGAGGGAAGGAGGGAAGAGGGAGGGAGGAGGGAGGAGGAAGGAGGGACACGAGGAGTGAAAGTGGCGCATGTGCCGAAACCATGTTGTGTTTTCCTGAATTTTCTGAGGTTATGGGGCTCTCGCGGGCATCTCGGAGGGCCTCTGGAGACACCCTTGGGAGCTCTTGGGCTTCCTCTTGAGAGCCCCTTGGGCCGCCTTGAGGCCATCTTGGGACGTCTTGCTGGGACTTCGGACTGTCTGGAAGCCTTATGGGCACCAACGTGGCCGATTCTGAAGCCTTCTGGGGCCGTCCGGGGCCGCCTGGGTGGGATCTTGGAGGGACCCCGCAGCCCCGGTCCGCCCATGGAGAGGGCACTCACCTGTCGCCGGGCCCTGGGCCGCGTCCCCTGGTATGTGTGTATATATATATATATAAATGTACATATACATATACATATACAAGTACATATGTGTTGTGTGTGGCGTGTGTGTGTGTGTGATGTGTGTGACGTGTGTGACGTGTGTGATGTGTGTGGTATGTGTGTGGTATGTGTGCGGCATGTGTGTGGGATGTGTGTTGTATGTGTGGTATGTGTGTTGTGTTGTGGTGTCTTGTCTTGTGTTGTGGTGTGTTGTACTGTGCTGTGTTGAGTTGTGATGTGTTGTACTGTGATGTGGTGTGTTATGTTATGGCGTGTTGTTATGTTATGGTGTGATGTGTTGTCTCGTATTGTGTTGTGTTTTGCTGTGTTGTGGTGTGCTGTGGTGTGTTGTGGTGTGTTGTGTGTGGTGTGTGAGTGTGGGTGTGTGGGTGTGTGTGGGTGTGTGGGTGTGTGGGTTAGAGTGTGGGTGTGTGTGCGTGTGGATGTGTGTGTGTGTGGATGTGTGTACGTTTGTGTGTGTGTGTTGATTTTCTGACCGTCGCCGTACTAATGCAATGCTCCGATCAGGCCCTGTTCGGCGTCTCTCGAGGCCGTTCTCGGGCCGTGTTGGGGGCCGCCTGGGCCGTCTTGGGGCCCCCTTGGGCCGACTCGCCGACTTGGTCCCTCTGGGCAGTGGGGGCCTCCTGGCCTGCTCTGCGGCGGTCTGGGGGGCCCTGTTGGGATGTCTTGGGGCCCTCTTGGGCCGCCTGGAGCCCCTCCTGGGACTATCTTGAAGCGTCTTGGGTCCGTCTTGGGCCCTGTTGGGACGTCCTGGGCTCGTCTAAGGGCCATCTTGGGCGCCCATTGGGCCGTCGTGGAGCAGTGTCGGGTCCTCAAAACGTCTGTTAGCGTCAACGTGTGCTTGTCCACCGAAGCCGCTTCCATGCAACTCAGGCAGCGTACTAGGGCCGACGCGGGCTGCCTGTGATCGGCGGAGCGGAACGGCGTAAACACGCACTGGGTTAACACACACATCCTGAGGATCATCGACAGAGCGAGCGCGGGACGAGACCAGGAGGCCACCCATCTCAGAGGGGTGGGCGGAGCCCTCCTCCTCCTCCTCCTCCTCCTCCTCCTCCTCCTCCTCGTACTCGTCCTCCTCCTCCTCCTCCTCCTCCTCCTCCTCCTCCTCCTCCTCCTCCTCCTCCTCCTCCCTGCATTCATTCATCCCTCCTCCCTCCTCCCTCCCTCCACCTCTCCTTCCTCAGGCTGCATCCCCCTCCACCTCATCATCACTGCCTTGCTTATTTTCCCCCTCCGCCCAACCCACCCCCCTCTCCTTCCCCGATCCCCCCCTCGCCCTCGCACTCCCCCTCCCTGGCCTCCTGCTTCGCCCGCGCGAGGAGAAAGACACTCCTCCTCTCCATCCACCTCATGGTCATGCGTTTGCTGTTTCTCTAACTCCTATGCCTTCGCCTCTCCTCCTTTGCACCCTGCTACTCCCAGTACGCATGATAATCGTCGTCAGCCTCGTCATCCTCATCCCCCTGACCCGAAGAATAATACAGCATCATCGTCATCGTCGTCATCATCTTCGTCATCGGCATTATCATCATCATCATCATCAGCCACACGATCACGTGGCCATCGTCATAAACGTCATCACGTCGTCGTCGTCGTCGCCAGCATCATCATCATCATCATCATCATCATCATCATCATCATCATCATCATCATCATCATCATCATCATCATCATCATCATCATCATCATCATTATGATCATCATCATCATCATCATCATCATCATCATCAGCAGCAGCAGCAGCAGCAGCATCATCATCATCAGCATCATTAGCATCACCATCATCACTAGCTTCGACATCATCAGCAGCATCAGTATCGTCGACATTAGCCGCATCAGCCGCAGCAGCATCAGCATCATAGCATCAGCATCACCATCATCATCAACATCATCATCCGCAGCAACATCAGCAGTATCATCATCAGCATCAGCATCAGTATCATCATCATCATCATCATCATCATCATCATCAGCAGCAGTATCGTCATCATCAGCAACAGCATCATCAGCATCATCAGCATCACCATCATACTAAGAAGTATCAGCATCACCATCAACATCATCACCACCATCATCATAACCGCTACCATCGTCATCAGCATCATCATCATCATCATCAGCATCATCATCAGTACCAACGTGATCATCCGCATCCTTATCACCGATACAAGCCGTATCAATACCATCATCATAAACAGCATCATCAGCAGCGGCATCAATATCGCCACCACCATCCTCTGTATTATCATGAACAACAGCACCAGCATAGCCGAGCTCATGATGCGGTTCGGCATCCTCGTCATCATCAGTTGCATCATGGTCATCGTCACCAACAGCAGCATCATCGATATCAGCATCATCGTCATCAGCTGGGTCATGGCAATTATCAACGTGATCATCACAAGTACTGAGGGCAGTGCGATCTTGGTATTGAACATGATGCATGGTCATCGACACCATCAGCATCAGCAGCATCATCGTCGTCATCATCATCACTATTATGCTCCTCCTCATCACTATCAACATAATCAGAATCATCTGCATCACCGCCATCACCATCACCACCACCAGCATCATCATCATGTTGCACCGCCCCAGCGACCGCGACGATCAAGATCGAGAATGGTGAAATGATCATCATCATCCTGATCGTCATCGTAATCATTATCAGAACCCACTTCCTCCATCATCTTCAACTACCAACCACCACCATAATCCCCATCATCGTCATCATTGCCACCACCATCATCATCATCATCGTCATCATCATCATCATCACCATCATCATCACCATCATCCGCATCATCAACAAACAACATAGCCATCGGTTTCGTCATCGTCATCGTCGTCGTCATCAGCAGCAGCCACAACAGAATCGTCAACATTATCACCCTCCTTCTCCTCCTCCTCCTCCTCCTCCTCCCCCTCCTCCTCCCCCTTCCTCCTCCTCCTCCTCCTCCTACTCCTCCTCCCCCTCCTCCCCCCTCCTCCTCCTCCTCCTCCCCCTCCTCACCCCTCCTCCTCCATCTCCTGCTCCCTCCATCTCCACGGCGCGGCCCGTGGCGTGCGTGGGGGCGGGGAGCGACCTGCACCGCCGGGCCGACCCGCGGCGCTGCCAGCCTCTTGCGGTGCGTCCGGCCTCCAGCGGGAGGGGGCACGGAGGGCTCGTCGCCAGCGCCGTCGGCGTCGTCGCGACGGACGCAGCCACGGTGGCGCTGACCGCTGGGAACTTCCCAGCACGTTTCGCAGGCCGCGCTGACGCGCGGGTCCTCCAGTGCGAAGCGGTGACTCGGGCGGGCGCGGTATCATGGCGATGATGATTGTAGCGATGCTGGTGGCAATGATGACAATGACGACGGCAAAGGCAATGACGGCGCCGATGCTGATCACGCCGATGACGATGGTGTCCCCGCGTCGATGATGCAGTTTCTGAGGGATTTCGACATGCGCGAGCGGCCGACGCGCGAGTGGCCCGCGGATTGCGGGCGGGGAGGGTGTCCTAGAATTCTGGGTTTTTCTCCGAACTCCGAACCCCTTCCCTATAATAGATCCCCTCCCCCGGACCTGGACCGGCCCCCCCCCCCAGCGGGTCACTGGAGCGTCCAAGAAGGCATCGGCTACATCAGGCACAAATCGTTGATGTTACTCAGGTGTTGGGCCAATGTTGGCCTCCTTCGGGGGCGAGACTAATGAAGTACCCCCCGTGGTTTGATCGATCTCCACTCAGATAGCCCCAAGATGGCCCTCAAGGCTCCGAACAGTGCCCCAAGAGGGCCCTCAGGAGGCCCCACGAAGCTCCCCCCAGGGCAGCCAAGACGCTCCAAGAGACCCCCGGGACCGGCAAGAAGCCCCCAAGACGCCCCAAGAGGACTCCAAGAAGCTCTTCAGAACCATCCGAAGAAATTTCGAGAGGCATACAAGAGACCTCTGCCCATTTTGCTCGCATACAAGAGACCTCTGGCCATTTTGCTCGCCCTGTTCCTCCTCCTCCTCCTCCTCCTCCTCCTCCTCCTCCTCCTCCTCACCCTCCTCCTCTTCCTCATCCGCCTGTTCCTCCTCCTTCCACCTCCCTTCTCCCTCTTCCCCTCCCCTCCTCCTCCGACTCCTCCTCCAAGCTCCCCATCTTGGGGTATGACGGCTGGCCCAGCCATTTCAGCGTATGCTCCTCCACATCCCTGATCAAGGCCACTCGGCTGGGCAGCATTTCTGCATGGACTGATGGGGTAACTTTTTTCGGTCGCATCCACCAGCGAGAGCGCTAGCGGAGTCAGAAGCGCTCCGGGACACGGAAGCGGCCTAATTAGCTACTAAACGCGCTGATGCGGGGTAACGCGAAGCGTCTAGAATACCAACTCTTGAAATCTGATACGCTTAAGAACAATTAAGATTGAGCAATTGAAAAGAGATGGGAACGGATACAGGAGGGGCAACGGGTGGTCGCAATGGCGCCGAGTGAAAGGCATGGATAGCACTGGACGGCGCTTGCAGGGCCGTCGCGCTTGGGCGTCGGCGTCGACAGGTGGGGGGGGGAGGGGAAGGGGCGCAAGAAGGAGAGATGCGAGAAGGGTGGAGGGGAGTGGAAGAGGCGGGACAAGGATCCAGTGAGCCAAGTAACCCATCACAGATCCGCAGGAATCGATGACAGGCAGACGATCAGGAACGATCGAGTGATGTCTAGGACGGATCATTTTGCCACGCTAGATCCCTCGGTCAGAATGGCAGTGGAAAGGGGGAGGGTGGGTGCTCTGACGAAGCGAGACGACAAGACGAGACGAGAAGCTGCAGCTGTCGCTGGAGAGCGGCCTGATTGATAGAGCAGCAGCCTGATTGATAGGGGCTCTTGCGAGTCGACGCTAGTCGACGCTACATCGACACTCATCGACGCTAAATCGACGTCAAATCGACGTTAAGCCGACGCTAAATCGGCTAAATCGGCGCTATCCCATCGACTCCCAGACGCTAACCGACGCCGAAGACGGCGCCACGAGGGCACACAAGGCTCCCATGCTTTTGCTACCGACTTGAGCACGCCGAGGGAGCACAACAGACAGGATACGGTCGGAAGAGAAGGCTGGGTCGGAGAGGGGCGGTGTTGGCGAATCCTGCTCCCACGTGGCTGGCTGTCCCGGCGCCTCCCAGCGCCGGGAGGCGCCAAAACGCATCCAGGAAAGGCGCCTGGCAGCGGGGCTGCACCCGACTGCATGCCACGGATGGCGTACCCCGCTGCCCCTTTCCCTATCCCCCCCGCTGCGTCCGACCCTAGAGGCCTCTCAAATTGACTGACTGCCAGACAACCCCAACCCAACCTAAGACCCGAATTTCGGGTTGGGGGGGGTACGCATTCCATATGTGTTTTTGTTTCGAAGTTCTCCGACCGCCCCCCCCCCCCCACACTGGGAATGGAGGGCAAATTGGGCCCTTCGGGAGTTGGGTTGGGGTGGTTTGGTGGGTGGTGACAAATGGGGTCCGAATAGGTAGTGTCCGAGGATCGCACCTCGTCGCCGATGTATCGCCGATGCATCGACAACGCAGGCGATGCATCGGCGCGATAAAAACGGCTCCACATCGAGCCGCATCGCCGATGCATCGGCAATCCGGCGAGATCCTCCGACCCCATCCACTCGGACCCCCATGTGGAAAACCCAGAGGCCCGACAGGCGACTGGATCCGAGGGAAGAGCCGGGGAGGACAGCGGACCTCTCGCGTGCATCTCCCACGAGGTCTCCACCTCCTCCCCCTCGGCGAGCTCCCAGGACAGCTGGCAGACGGTACACTGCTGCCTCCTCCCGGCGGGGACAGGATCGATCAGCACCGAAACGGGAATCTGGACGGGATCGGAATGTGCGTCGGATCGGGCCGCATCGGCATGGAGTCGAAATCAGATCGGATCGGTCCCGCCAGGATGCACAACAGCGCCATGCAAGCATCCGGGCCGCATCGGACCGCCCGAACATCGGAATCGCATCTAGACGAGCGCGCTCCACTACTCGCAAAAGAACTACTCGCAAACGGCCTGGATCCCCCGCGGGGATTTATGACCCATTATATCGAGACGTAAATGTGGTTTTCCCACGTTTGCGAGCAGCCACTCTGCGAGTAGTGGCACGCGCTCGGTGAGCCTCGGATCTGGCCGCCCAGAGCCGATCTCGATCGGATCGGTCGGACGGCCATGGACCCCGGCGGGGACGGGCGAGGATGCGGCGCCTCCACGCGGCCACTCCGACCACCGCCCCCGGAATGCACGCCTGGCGCGCACGCCCGCGCACACGACGAGGAAGCCCGGGGGGGGCCCAAGAGGGGGCGCCGCCGGCGACGTGATGCGACACCGCAGCCGAGATCGGACAGAAGCGGGCCACGCCACTCTGGCAGTCGCCCGCAAGCAGGCCACCTCACAAGAAGTCCCACTGGCCCCTCTGGGCGTGGGCTGTTCAACGAACTCCTGTCTTCGGTGTGCCAAATACCCTCGCTCCCCTGATCGGGGGAGGGGTTCACCACTGTTCCTTATCAACATACACCCCCTCCCCCACCCGGCCGGCGGCCAACCCGGAACCGTGCCAACTCCACGCGGGCCCGCCCTCCACCATCCCTGTCAAGAATAACAACACAAGCCGCACTCTGCCTCCACATTTGGCAGGGCTACCATCCCTAACCAAAAAAACTATACGACCACCCTTCGGGTGATAAGGAGGTTGTGGGGTGGGGAGAAAGGGGGGGACCAACACCGGACTCAATCGATCTCACTATCGATCTCACTCAACGGGACAACACGGGACTTCACGGGACACCACGGGACAACAGGGGACACTTGTCGATCTCACTATCGATCTCACTATCGATCTCACTCAACGGGACACCGCGGGACACCACGGGCCACCACGGGACACCACGGGACACCGCGGGACACCGAGGGACACCTCTCGATCTCACTATCGGTCTCACTATCGATCTCACTATCGATCTCACTCAACGGGACACCACGGGAAACCACGGGACACCTGTCGATCTCACTATCGATCGCACTATCGATCTCGCTTTGGGGACACAACGGGACACCACGGGACACCTCGGGGCACCACATCGTTCTCAGTATCGTTCTCACTATCGATCTCACTATCGATCTCACTCAACGGGACACCACGAGACACCACGGGACACCGCGGGACACCTGTCGATCTCACTATCGATCTCACTATCGATCTCACTATCGATCTCACTTGTTGGGACACCACGGGACACCACGGGACACCTCGGGACACCACATCGATCTCAGTATCGATCTCTCTATCGATCTCGCTATCGATCTCACTATCGAGCTCATCGATCTCACTATCGATATCACTATCGATATCACTATCGATCTCACTATCGATCTCACTATCGATCTCACCCAACGGACACCACGGGACACCGCGGGACATTCCCCCTAGCAACAGCGGACACCACGGGACACCACGGAACACCACGGAACACCGCGGGACACCGAGGGACACCGAGGGCCACCGCCGGACGGAAGAGAATCATTTGTCTTGACTTCGCCCTAGCAACGGCGCACACCACGGGACACCACGGGACACCGCGAGACACCGAGTGACACTGAGGGCCACCGCCGGACGGAAGAGAATCATTTGTCTTGACTTCGCCCTAGCAACGGCGCACACCACGGGACACCACGGGACACCACGGGACACCGCGGGACACCGAGTGACACTGAGGGCCACCGCCGGACGGAGGAGAATCATTTGTCTTGACTTCGCCCTAGCAACGCCTCGCCCGTACGCACGACACGAACGAAACGAAACGATTTCCCGGTTCACTGCGATCTCACCCCTCAACCTCCGACACCATGCACCTCGCGGCTAAATCGGAATCATGCGCGGCCATCCCGCGATCACTGTCAAGTAGTTTTTGACAGGGACGGCGGGGGTGACGGCGCGTGGCCTGCTGTGAGCAGGCCAACCGGACACAATCATGGGCATTGGTTTTCGACAAAGATGGCGGGGGCCGACATGTTTCTCGATGTGTACTGTCACGTGCGCTGGCGCACCTGAAGCACTTTGCACGTGCCCAACATGGCGCACCTGGCGCGGCTGGAGTGTGCGGCACATCTGGCGCACTCGGAGCACGTGGCGCATCTGGCGCACCAGGCGTGCCTGGCACGCGCTCCCCGGGAGTGCCTGGCGCGCGTGGCGCCCATGGCACGCGTGGCGCACCTCGCCCACGCGTCGCGCACCTGAGGTCGGCTTTCGTTCCCAGTAGCTGTCCATCCAAAGACGACCGCTCAACATGCTCAGGATCGGGTGTTACTTATGGGTTGGGAGGGCGGGTGGGAGTGAGCTAGGTTGGGAGGGCGGGTGGGAGTGAGCTAGACGGCTTGCGGGCGGGAGGATAGCTTGACCCCTCCCCATACTCCCTCCCCTGGATCTGGAGGGGGTCCCCCCCGAGGGGTTGGAGCGTCCAGATGGCCCAAGGTGGCTCTAAGAGCGCCTCGGAGAGCCCAAGATGAGCTCCGAGATGGCTCAAGATACCCCGAGATGTCTCAAGAGGGCTCCCAAGATGCTCCAAGAGGCCCCAAGACCGCTCTAAGACGGCTCCAAGTGGCCAAAGAGCTTCCCGAGGAGGCCCCGAAGAGACCAAAATCATGAGAAACCCAAAGGACAATCACTGTGTGTTGCTTTCTCGTCGCTTCGCTGCCGATGGCCATCCGAGGCCTCAAGATGGCTCCAAGCTGGCCCAAGAAGGCCCCAGGAAAGGCCCAAGAGAGCCCCAAGACGGCCCAAGAGCGCCCAAGAGCGCCCCAAGAGCGCCCCAAGAGCACCGTTTGGGGCTCCTAAGGGGGGGGGGGGCGATTGAGGGAACCCCTCTTGATTGATCTATATCATCCAAGATGGCCCCCAGAGTGCTCCTAAAGCTCCCAAGAGCGTCCCGAGAGGCGCCCAAACAGCCCGAGGAGGCGCCCAAGAGGCCTCCAACAGGCTCCCAAGAGGCCCCCAAGAGGCCTCAAGACGATCTCCGAGGCATCCAAGACGCTCAAAAAAAAACCTGGGCTCGCCAAGGTGTTCCGACTCCTCCTCCTCCTCCTCCTCCTCCTCCTCCTCCTCCTCCTCCTCTTCCTCCTGCTCCTGCTCCTCCTCCTCCTCCTCCTCCTCCTCCGCCTCCTCCTTTTTTTGTCACTGTCACTTCCTCCTTCCTCCTCATCGCCCTCCTCCTTCTGCTCCTCCTCCTCCTCCTCCTCCTCCTTCTCCTCTACCATCCTCCCCCTCTTAGGGGCATCGGACGGCTTGCCCCGCCTTTTGTTTTTCTGCATGCTCCCCCACTTCCCTGATCACTTCAACTTCCCTAGGCGTCGTTTCTGGATGAGCTGATGGGGATCCGCGAAGCTCAACAATTTCCTACCCCCCCTCTCTCGGTTTGAGTCATGAGGCCCAAGAGGCCTCCCAGACCCCTCCGATGAGCCCCGAGAGGGCCCCAAGACCCCAAAAATAAACCCAGAGGGCCCCAAGAGTGCCCCAAGAGGCCCCTGAGAGAGCACCTAAGATGGCCTTAAACCGTCCTTCAAAAACCTCTGACGACAACATATCTCCAAAGCCTGACTTCTCATCCTCCTTGTCATCGTCCAGTCCTTCCATCCTCCTTTCCTGTCTCCTCCCTCCTCCTCCTCCTCCTCCTCCTCCTCCTCCACCACCACCTCATCCTCCTCTGCCTCCTCCTTCTCCTCCTCATCCTCCTAATCTTCATCGTGCCGGATTATTCCTTCTCCTCATCCCCCTCCTCATCCGTCTTTCTTCCTCCTCCTCCTCCTCCTCCTCCGCCTCCTCCTCCGCCTCCTCCTCCTACCCGCAAGATGGTCCCCGGAGGTCGAGCATGGCTCAAGATAGCCTCCGACAAACCTCAGAGAGGCCTCAAGGCAGGCTCAAGACGGTCCAAGATAGCCGAGCATTGCTCAGGATAGCCTCCGCCTCCAAGAGGCCTCAAGAAAGCCTGCGATCGTACCTGGATGGGCTGGTGGGGATACGCGAAGCGTCAAGAAGTCTGCTGTGGACGACTCCCTCGAGGGCCCCTGAATAGGGAGCTGCAGAGACGTACGCGCAGGAACTCGTACATGAACATGTACGTACCTCGCCAGCGTGCCTTGCAACGCAAAGAACACACGATATGATAAGTATGCATTGTCTGGTATTTAGGTGTCCCTGTCCTGCTCCACCATGTCGTCCCCCTCGCGCTCATCTACTTTATCACTGTGCCATTATGCGCCCTCTCGTTGTGTTTATCATTTCCATCATTCCCTTCCCCGTCTTCCCCTTGAGCTAGACGAATTGTACAAAGGGTGCTGATGAAATCGGGCGGGGGTGCTCTCGAACCCTTCATGCTCCCCTTGTCATCCAATCGTTGCCCGCGCGGGCCCTGCAATGAGGGTTTGTTGGGGCCGTTCTGACGCCTGCTATAACGCAGGGGCTCTTGGAAAACTTCAGCCCGAATTAATCAATTGTGAAATCAGACTGGATGATAGAAATGCCTGCCAACCCCTTCTTCCGCAAACACCCGAGTGTCTGCATTGGCCTGTTCCGTGGACGGAATCTCGCGTGGACTTCGACTCGCGGTGTCCTGGATGTGGTGTGTGCTGAGGGCCTGAGCTGGTATTTCTTTCACTGGGCCTAAGTCATGATTACGAGGGCATGCGTGATGGTCATCGGATATTCACTGTGTAGGCCTCTGTCCGAGCGACGGCTTCGATGCCCCATGCTGCCGTCGAGCATGCCCCAGCCCGCGTGCCACCGTCCGTGTGAACCAAGAGATTGGCCATCCCAAGATCTTCGCTTGATATATCTCAGGCTTGAAACCATGACTTACGCTCGTCCATCGTGTAGCTGGCCGCCAAGTAATCAGCTTGGAGGTTCCATGCCCGTTGCTGCCAGAACATCATGTCGTCTATGTCACGCGCTTGACGCCAGCCGGAGTGTAACACCTTGAAACTGCTGTTGGAAATGGCACGGTCGAACATGGGGGCAATGCGAATGTTGTAAACACGGTGGTTCCATTGACGACGCAAACCATAGGCCTGCAATGCGTGATAACAACAACCCGCCGTGTGGATCCTTCCCACAAGACGTCTGGCACGACGCGACGCGAATTTAAAGGCGCCCGTTGCTGTCCACGCATGGGCCTCCCTGTACCGCTCTCAGCATGCGCGCCAAATGGCGGTTGGCCTCGGCGCGTTTAATTGGAGCCCACGCTGAGCTTCACGTGTTGACGGTCTCTCGATGCGTGCTCCGATCAATGGTTGTCGCGCTGCCGACTCGTGCCCCCACAAACCTCTGTCTCATCGTTTGTGTTTCAAACGCGCGCGTTCCTAGCTTCGGTTTGATATTCCTCGGCAGCGGCGGACCGCAGCCATGAAGCACCAGTCAGACCGTAAGTTCCTTGAACTTGACGATCCTACCTGTTTGCTGCTTGCTATCAGTCTAGCTGGAAGCTACGATAATGGAGGGTGGATCCTTTGCAGAAAGGGTTCTCGCCTGAGGGGCAGGCCCACCAGGTGCTCGTCATTCAAGGGGGCTGCTCCCCGCAGTGTGCACGGATAGCTCCAAAATGACGGGACTCTGGTGCACCCTTCCTTCCACTCTTGCCCTCCTCCTGCTCCTCCAACGCCTTCTCATCCGCCTACGCCTCCGCCTCCGCCTACGCCGCCACCGCCTCCTCCTCCTCCACCTGCACCCTCAAGAGGGCCACCCGTGGGTGCGTTCTGGCAGTGACTTCGATGGGAACCCGGCCGTGGCGACGAGAAGCCTGCCCGAGTCCTCCAGCATCCGCGAAGAAAGCCCCACACGGAGCGCTTTCGCGGATGCCCCACGCGGGACGTACCCATGCGACCGCGCATCCACAGATTCGCGCGAATGCAGACAGCGAGGGCATGGATACGACCATGTTCTAGGGGAACAAAAAGTGACATAAATATACAACTCGGAGGTCCGCGCGGACCTCCGAGTTTTTATGTTTATGTGACTTTTTGTTCCCCTATGTTCGCCGCACGTTACTCTCGCCCGACCCGACACCCCGACGCGCAGCCGAGCCAGACCGACGGCGCCCCCCGAGGGGGAGCTTTACGGGGGGATCGGCTCCGGGCGGGAAGCATCAACCTGGGATGGGAGATACATCGACGGTAGATCGGCGACAGAACCCCGATAGTAGCAAATCCTCACGCTCCTGGTGGGCGACCAGGACCCCATCGGCGATGAGTGAATGTGCCATCGAGGGTCCATGCATCCCCCCTCCCTGAGCATACCCATCTCACGTTGCCCATGACCCCCGCCCGCCGCCGGTCCTCCCCTCGGCGGCGCTATGCCCGCTGGCGATCCGCCTCGAGGCTTCTCCTCGACTATTTTCTCCGCTGGGCGAACTTACGCCACAGAGCTGGAGCGCACCTCTTCCTCGATCCTCCTCCTTCTCCTCCTCCTCCTCCTCCTCCTCCTCCCCCTCCTCCTCCTCCTCCTCCTCCTCCTCCTCCTCCTCCTTCTCGATCCTCCCCCTCCTCCTCCTCCTCCTCCTCCTCCTCGATCCTCCCCCTCGATCCCTCGATCCTTCTCTTCTCCGCCCAACGCCGGTCCTCCCGTCGGCGCTCCGCCCGCCGGCGAGGGGCGGGCGCCCGCCGCCGCCGGCCGCGGCGCCGCCGGCCCCGCGGGGGAGGCCGGGTCGCGCCCAGCGCGGCGCGCCGCCGCACCGTCAGGCGCCACCGCCCCGCCGTCCGCCCCGGGCCGCACGGCCACCGCGTCGCCGCCGCCGGCGGCCGCGGCGCCGCCGGCCTCCGCAGGGGAGGCCACGTCGTGCCCAGCGCGGCACGCCGCCGCGCTTTCGGGCGCCACCGCCCCGCTGTCGGCCCCGCTCCGCACGGCCACCGCGTCGCCGCCGCCGCCGGCCAGGGCGCCCTCCTGAGCATCGCTTAGCCGATCCTAAGCCCCACTGGCCGACTTGCGATGCTGCTTCCCTGTGGCTTGCCACCTGCGCGACGAAAGGACAGAGGTCTTGCGCGAGATGGCGAAGCGACCTTACGCGACGGCGGCATAGCGACAATACCGGGCCGCCAGCGCGGCACACCACCTTGGAAACGACAGCGCTCCCGCGCGGCCTTACGCGGGCAGCATGGGCGCCAATGCCCGTGCAGACGACCCCGTTTTTCTGCGTCGCTCACCTGTGAGGGTGGGCTGGTGGGGCTGAGGTACCCTGGCCCGGTGGGGATGGGGGTGGGGATGGGTTTGACTAGGAAGGAGCGCGATCCACCGTCGCTTACCTGAAGAATCCCCATTCGGGTGATCACGAACCAGGGGACGCCCCCCTCCCCCCTGAAAAACAGGAAACGGGGATCAAACACCAGGAGCCCCCCCCTTCCCCCTCACGACCCCCCCCCCCAACCTCCCTTCCACCCCCCCCCTCAATTCCAGGAAACTCTTCGGAGGGGTCCGCCCCCCCAGGGAAAACTACATGAGGGGTCCAGATTCCCTCCCCAAGGGAACGACGACGACGACGACGACGACGACGACGACGACGACGACGACGACGACGGGCGACAGGCGACAGGCGACAGACGACGGGCGACGGGCGACGAGGACGTCGAGGACGTCGAGGACGACGAGGACGACGACGACGACGGCGAGGACGACGAGGGCGACGAGGACGGCGAGGACGGCGAGGACGGCGAGGACGAGGACGAGGACGAGGACAAGGACGAGGACGAGGACGAGGACGAGGACGACGACGACGACGACGACGACGACGACGACGACGATGACGACGACGATGACGACGACGACGACGACGACGACGACGACGACGACGACGACGACGACGACGACGACGACGACGACGACGACGGACGACGGACGACGGACGACGGGACGACGACGGACGACGGACGTCGGACGACGACGACGACGACGACGACGACGACGACGACGACGAGCAGCTGCATACCTCGCCATTCTGTAGGCTTCCTGCCCCCTCCCGCGCCTCCAGGGGGAGGCCCCGCCCGATCGCCGCAGGGCATCGGAGTGCCCCACTGCTGCTGAGGTGTCCTGCCCCATCCCGCCCCTCGAGGGAGGCCGAGGCCCCAGGCGCAGCCCACGGAGACCCCCAGGCCCGCCCACGGGCCCGCACAGCCCGCGGAGGCCCCGAGCGCGCCCGGAGAGGCTCCAGCAAGCTGCCCACAAGAGGCCCCGAGCGCGCGCGCCCACAGAGGCCTCCCCACGCTGCCCACTAAAACACAGCCCACAGAGGCCCCAGCAGGCTGCAGATTCTGCCTCGGGAGGCTTTCCGGACAATCCGAAAACGCTTGGAGCCATCTTCGGGCGACGGCTGAGGACTTATGGAAGCGCGTGGAGGCCATCTTGACGCAGGCTGTCCTACCATACACCATGCTGGAGGCCATCCGGAACAATCTTGGGTCCTCTTGGAGCTACCTTTGGCCATATTCAGCCCTCGGACCGCTCACGGGAGCCCCTCCCAAACCCACGGAAAAGCTCAGGGATGGCGTAAGGGGGGGCGGGGGAGGGGGGGGGAAATCTTCCCCAAAGGCAAACACTTATAAGAGCGGCCCCGCGTTTAACCAATAACACCTGCGGATGGGATTCGAAGAGGAACGGGAGAGCTCCCCGACCAGCCGACTTCTTCATTCATGGTGTCTCCCATCCTTGCCTTCGTTTGCCCTTACATGCATACACACTGTTGCGATGGGCCTTCCATCCATATTGCTTGTATCATATTATTATGACCCCATTGATCCTGGGAAGCCCTGAACATCCATATGTGAAGAATCCTGATAGCATAATTGGTTGTTTGGGGGGGGAGGGGGTTGAACCTCCCCCTGCCAGCATTGGGCGGCGATCAATGGGGCGGCGATGGATTGAGGGGGGGCAGCGAGGGCTGCCGAAAAGAGGCCCTTCTGGGGCCGCTAAAGGAGCCCTTTAGGGCCCACAAGGGGGCCGTTAGGGCCCGAGGAGGGCAGCTTTCTTCCCCCCCCTTATCGCCCCCTCATGAATTCGCGCCCAACAGCAGCGGCAGAAAGCGCTGCTCCGCGCGGATTTCTTGGATCTGCGCTGAACCACCCTCCATGGCGCGCGGAGCGCGCCAGGGGTGGCGCCCGAGGCGCCGCCAGGGAGGGGGCCGGCGCAGATCCAGGGAATCCGCACGGACCTCCAATATTCTATGTTTATGCAGTTGTTTCATCGTCGAGCTCTGCTGACCTCCGGAACAGGGTGGGAAACATCGACCTGGAATCGGCAATGCATCGCCGATAGATCCGCGGTAGGCCCCCGATCGTGAATTCGCACCCTCCTGGGCAGGTCGGGGCTATCGGCCCCCTATCGGCAATCAATGGGCGATTGGGAGTCGATGCGTCCCACCCTACGACGTCGGTTTAGAGAAAATCGTGCTCCGCATCGAGCCGCATCGCCGATGCATCGGCGATGCGGCGCGATCCTCCGACCCCAGCTGCTCCGACCCCACCTGGGAGGCCTGGACTATCCCCCCCCCCTGTCGCTGCCCCTGACCTCCGGCACCCGGCCCGCGGCCCGGCTGGGCTCTTCGGGAGTGGCAGGCCCGCGCTGCGCGGCAGCCCGCGCGCCGCCGCCGCCTGCGGCCAGGGCGCCCCCCGGCGCCGCGCCCGCGGCTCGGCAGGGCGGAGGCCAGCGCGCCGGCCCCACCCCCGCGGGGGGTGGCCGAGGTCGGCCACGGCCCAGCCCAGACATCCTCTGAAGGGGCCCAGGGACACACAAAGTAGCAGACACAAATCCGAGGATTCCCCAGATTTCTCGACATTTTCAGGGTCTTCGTCCTCCGCCCCACTTCCCATATTTTCCAATGTTTTTCCCGGGAGTCGACCATGAACCGTGTCTGTGTTCTTCCCCTCCTAATCGCCACGACGGGAGGGATCGAGGCGTAAGACGAACCCAGGACGAGGACAAATTCGGGTGAGGACAAATCGGGAATCCCTGAGATCCGGCGGCTCTGGAGGATGTCTCGGGCGCCGCGGCCTTCTCAGAGCGTTCCGGGACGCTCCGAGAGCTTTCTGGGACGCTCCGGAACGAAAATATCCCCGTCCTAGCCCCTCCGAAGACATCCTCATCGCCACGACGGGAGGCATCGAGGCGGCCCCAGATCTCTCCCACGATGGCTGCTTGGCGGCTTGGCCGCCTCTCCTGATGTCGGAGCTCCAGGATCCCGAGGTGCGGCCCTGGGGCAGCCAAAGACGGAACGGGCACGCAAAGCAAGCCCCCGGGGAAGGGGTCGTGGCCACGGCCCCGCCCAGACATCCTCGCCACCACGGGGGGAGGACCGAGGCGGCCAGGTCTCTGCCGAGAGGCCCCCCAAATGGGGTGCGCGCACGCGGGTTCGGACGTTCGCGCCGCACCGCCGGTGCATCTCGGCACCACTGTCGTGGAAAAAAACTGGCTCCAAATCGAGCCGCAGCAGCGCTTCATCGGCGATGCGCCGGCAACGACGGCGACGCATCGGCGACGTCGGCGTGGAGAAATCGGGCGCCACATCGAGCCGCATCGCCGATGCATCGGCGGCGCGGCGCAGTCCTCCGACCTCATCTGCTCGGCCCCGATGGGGAGGCCTGGTTTCCCTCTGGGCTCTGGATGGCCCGCGTCAGGCCCCTTGGGACGTCAGGAGCGATCCAGGTTGAAGAACTGGACACGAGGGAGCGAGTCGAGAGAGCTCGGGGGCGACGAATTGACAGAGACATGTAGCCAGAGGTCTAGGAAGTTCCCCTCCCCCCCCATGGCTCCCCTCCCTGCATTCTCCTCCTCCTCCTCCTCCTCTTCCTCCTCCTCCTCCTGCTCCTCCTCCTCCTCCTCTCGTTCTCCTCCTCCTCATCCTCCTCTTCCCTCGATCTCCTCTTCCTCCTCCTCCTCCTCCTCCTCCTCCTCCTCCTCCTCCTCGTTTTCCTCCTCCCCTCCTCTCTCCTCCTCGATCTCCTCTTCTCCTCCTCCCTCCTCCTCCTCCTCCTCCTTTTTTCTCCTCCTCCCCCCTTCTTCCCTCCCATCCTCCCCCCTTCCACTTCAGCCTCTCCTTCTCCCCTCTCCCTCTGCCAATACCCCTCTCACCTCCCCCTCTCCACCCTCCCCCTTGTTCACCCCCCTCATCTCCCCACTCCTTCTGCACCCTCTCGCCTTTCGTCCTCATTCAACCCCAATCATCGAGCGCGCTCTACAAAGAATTCGAGACTGTCAAACATCAAATCCGATAAGTATCCCTCATCGTTCTGATCCTCTGACCCCATCCGCCTGCTCCTACTCACCTCCTCCTCCTCCTCCTCCTTCTCCTCCTCCTCCTCCTCCTCCTCCTCCTCCTCCTCATCATCATCATCATCATCATCATCATCAGCATCAGCATCAGCATCAGCATCAGCATCAGCTCATCATCCATCATCATCATCATCATATCATCATCATCATCATCATCATGCATCATCATCATCATCATCATCATCCTCATCATCATCATCATCATCATCATCATCATCATCATCATCATCATCATCACCATCACCATCACCATCATCATCATCATAATCATCAGCATCATCATCATCATCAGCATCAGCATCAGCATCATCATCATCATCAGCATCCGCATCATCATCATCATCCTCTCCTCCTCCTCATCATCATCATCATCACCATCATCAGCATCATCATCTCATCATTCAGCAGCATCATCATCATCATCATCAGCATCAGCATCATCATCAGCATCTCATCAGCATTCATCATCAGCATCTCATCATCATCATAGCAGCAGCAGCATCATCATCATCCTCATCACCATCATCATCATCATCAGCAGCAGCAGCATCATCATCATCAGCAGCACCATCATCATCATCATCATCATCATTAGCATCATCACCACCATCATCATCAGGATCATCATCATCATCAACGTCATCATCATCACCATCATCATCATCACCACCACCACCATCATCATCATCATCAGCAGCATCATCATCATCATCATCATCATCATCATCAGCATCATCATCATTATCAGCAGCAGCATCATCATCCTCCTCCTCATCATAATCATCATCATCAGCAGCAGCACCATCAGCATCATCATCATCAGCATCATCATCATCATCATCAGCGTCATCATCATCAGTAGCAGCATTATCAGCAGCAGCATCAGCATCATCATCATCATCATCAGCAGCATCAGCATCAGCATGGTCATCAGCATCGTCATCTTCATCAGCAGCATTAGCATAATCATCAGCATCAGCAGCATCAGCATCATCCTCATCATCATCATTATCATCATCAGCAGCATGAATCACCATCATAATCATCATCAGCATCATCATCGTCGTCATCAGCATCTGCATCATCATAATAATCAGCATCATCACCAGCATCATCATCAGCATCATGATCAGCATCGTCATCTCCATCAGCAGCATCAGCAGAATCATCATCATCAGCATCAGCAGCATCATCATAATCACCATCATCATCATCATATCATCGTCATCAGCATCATCATCATAATCATCAGCATCATCAGCATCAGCAGCAGCATCATCAGCAGCATCATCAGCATCATCAGCATCATCATCAGCAGCAGCATCATCCCCATCGGCATTAAACATCATCCTCAGTACCAGCATCATCACCATCATCATCAGCAGCATCATCACCAGCACAATCACCAACATCATCATCAGCAGTAGCATCATCAGTAGCAGCAGCATCAGCATCAGCACCATCTTGATCATCATCATGGTCATCAGATTACTCCTCCTCCTCCTCCTCCTCCTCATTCTCCTCCTCGTTCTCCTTCTCCTCATCATCATCACCGCCACCATAATCCTGATCATCAGCTCATCACCACCACCACCACCCTCGTCATCACACACCCACCCGCCCACCCATCCATCCACCCACCCACCCACCCGTCCACCCACCCATCCATCCATCGACCCACTCCATCATCCATCCCTTCACCCGTACCTCCAACCATCCATCCCCCTCGGAGGCGTAAATACCGATCCTGGGCCCGCCAGAACTGGTGCAAGGGGACACGGCCAGCGCCCCTCCACCGTCGGAGAATATCCCGAAGGCCGTTCACTGTGCAGAAATCCGGGCTTACGTGGCGGATCAGCGCGTGGGCGTCAGCCTCTTCGATCCACGTCGTCCTCGGGCGAGGGAGGGGGCGGAAGGGCGTGCAGCTGCACCTGCTCCTGATGTCTCGCCCAATGGCCAGCTGATGCCTCGGTGCCCCCTCTGCAGCTCCTGTCTTGTTTTTATTCACGAGCGCTGCATTGCCCAGAGTTAAGCGAGAGAAAGATTGAGTGGCTCCACCTGTACGTGGGCCAACTTAGGGTGTTTCCCCTTTGAAATCTTGTTCCAGGACGCGACGGCGCAATTAGAGATAGCTTTCTTCTTCGAGGTAGCTGCGTATGACAAGCAATCCTCTGAGAGATTGCGGAGATGTCCTCCCGTTGCATACGCCTTACATCTGGAACCGGCATATCACAACGTTCCGCCGGTGCAGGAGAAGACCTTTAGCGAGTGCTTACGCAGCCCAATCTCGAGGGCAGCCGCGGGCAGCCAGCCAGAACAAAAT